TCAAACATTGTACCCATGTCAGGAATAGAACCCGGGTCTTCAGCGTGACGAGCGAACGCTTTAACTACAAGGCTACCCGACCGCCCCGAAAAACAGTTTAAAAAACGTATGCTGACCATGGGAAATCATTTATAAACAAATCGTCATTTGTCGTGGCCTTGCTATTGCACAAGTACTTTATACGAAGTGTTTATGGGACGTTTAGTAGCACGTGGTGGGCTGGGAAGGGTTAGGAGGCACGTGGTAGGTTCGGGGTCAACACGGCGCTAGGAACACTGTGTGTGGGGTGGGTGGGGGGTGGGGGTGGGGGGGTACCATGTCTTTAGTGTCTGTGTACTAACTGTTCTCTGCTCTCCACCAGAACTGCGTAGATACCCGCTGTTTACTCTCTGTATCCACGTATCTAACTACATAAACATGGTTATATAACATAACAATAGCCCGAGATCACAGTGTTGGCACCGGTATCTCGCAGCGACATGGTTGATGCAGTGTACTGAGGCTGTGTGTTGTTGCTGATGCCGTGCCCACATCCTGCACAGATGGTGAGCTCAGATGGCGGCTTCACATTTCAAAGTGTAAACAGACCAGCAATATACAGAAGCTCCATTCGGTGTACACTACTACCACTTCTATGTCCAAACAGAACGATTTTGATTAACACCATGTTAAAATAATCGGAAATAAACTGCAGGGTAAAACAAGGTATTCGCTTGAAAATTGGATTTGACCAACACATTGCGACCCTTATCAAAACGCTAGTGGGCTGAAAACACTCGCCGAAACACCACTTACTTAAAGTTGGAAAGGTGAGGTGAGGTGAAATGGGGTTTAACGTCGCGTCCAAAATTATTACATTTATATAGCGACGTGCATGCACGCGCGCGCGTGCGTGCGTGCGTGCGTGCGTGCGTGTGTGTGTGTGTTGTTGTTGTTGCTTGTGCTAATACGGACTAATGCCGATTTTATAGTGCTAGCACACTGAGATACCATGTCGCTGTTTAAGATGAATACCAAACTCAGACACAGTATACTGACTCCGAGACCGCCTCCGTGGTCCAGTGGTAGAGCGTCCGCCCGGAGAGCGGAAGGTCCGGGGTTCGATCCCCGACCGCGTCATACCAAAAGACGTTAAAAGATGGTACTTGTTGTTACCCTGTCTGGTGCTCGGCATTAAGGGGCTAAAACAAGGACTGGTCGGCTCGGAGACAGTATACTGTGTCTGAGTGGGGTATTCATGTTAAACTGCGACATGGTATCTCAGTGAGCTAGCACTATAAATCGGCATCGGTCCGGACTAGTACAAGCAGCCACACACACACACGTGCATGAACGTCGCTATATAAGTGCAATAATCTTAGACGCGACGTTAAACCCCATTTCACCTCACCTGCCGACTCCGAGCCGACCAGTTCTTGTTTTAGCCAGGCAGAATAACAACAAGTAACATCTCTTAACGTCTCTTTTGGTGTGACGCGGCCGGGGATCGAACCCCGGACATTCGGCTCTCCGGGCAGACACTCTACCACTGACCATGGTGGCGGCCCAAAACGCAACTATGAAATCCACATCAAATACATCACCATCGAATAACCATTTCTTGTTTGTGAGTGAGTGAGTGAGTGAGTTAGGTTTAACGCCGCTTTTAACAGTATTCCAGTCATATCGCGGCGTGACAGCTTAATGTTGGAGGAAAGCCCGAAGTGATGCAGGTCTCAGACGTTTACCACTTCGGTGAAACCGACGAGCACGGGTATGGTGCTGACAAACCTAGAAACATAATTGGGGCGAACCGTCTTGTATGTTTCCCCATCATCAAACATGGTGAATACTTTCTTTCGGCAATGTATTCTACACCAATACATACAGGAGACCCATGGTGCAGTGGCTTCAAATCAACATGAATTCTCATATTCGGTGAAACCAGATTACTCTAGTATAGAATACTACAAGGGACATTGTCGCGTTGTCGCATTGTCGCGCTTTGGTAAAATGAAAAAGATTACTCAAAGCGCGACAGTTCGACAACGCGACAATGCGACAAATGGCCAAAATGTCGCGTTGTCGAATTGTCGCAATGTCGCGCTTTGGCTAATTTTGACACTTTTTGCTTGTTTTTCGAAGGGCGACAATGCGACAACGCGACAATGTCCCTTGTAGTATTCCATACTCTCGTGGTATTGTCCGGGTCCTAATGTCCAGAATAGTGACTCATGGATAAGGAGCTGATGTACTTTTATAAACACACGATCCCAACAATAACGGCCTGGATGCAGGAGATGTGACAGTGGTTTAAACATATTTATTAAACATTTATTTCATCACATGAATGTAGGATGAAATAGGTTTGTTTTGTTTGTTTTTTAACGCCAAACTCAGCAATATTCCAGCTATATGACAGCAGTCCAGTGATTGACATCATGAGCATCGATCCGCGCAATTGGGATACGATGACATGCATCAACCAAATCAGCGAGCCTGACCACCCGATCCCGTTCGTCGCCTCTTAGAATGAAATTGGTATTGGTAAACAACAACAATGTTTATATTACTACCGCTCCTGATGATTACATGTATACATTGGCAGTTTTAATACATAAATAAAAAATATATAAAAAATACAAAAATCATGTAAAAATATAACAGAAAGGTATAATAAATGTACAGCTCATGTACCACCAACATGGCTGGCATTACAATAAAAGACTCAGTGTAAGATTACTTCCTTAAAACTCTTTCCCAGTTAACATACACACTGTTACAGAACACTGTATAAAAGCCCAACCGAGTGACAGTGCCTGCGGCCTGATCAACACATAGCCTAGCTGACCGCCTCCGTGGTCTAATGGTAGAGCGTCCGCGGAAGGTCTAATGGTCCGCGGAAGGTCTAATGGTAGAGCGTCCGCGGAAGGTCCGGGGTTCGATCCCCAGCCGCGTCATACCAAAAGACGTTAAAATATGGTACTTGTTGTTACCCTGTCAGGCGCTCGGCAGCAAGGGGCTAAAACAAGGACTGGTCGGCTCGGAGTCAGTATACTGTGTCTGAGTGGGTTATTTATATTAACCTGCGGCATGGTATCTCAGTGTGCTAGCACTATAAATCGGCATCAGTTCGGACTAGTACAAGCAGCCACACACACACACACATACATGTGCATGCACGTCGCCATGTAAGTGCAATAATCTTAGACGCGACGTTAAACCCCATTTCACCTTACCTCACCTCACATCGCCTAGCTCCACATGAACACGATGGACGTAAAACCAGTGTCAGTCAGATGACTTGACTGCTGTTCGTGTTACAAACAGGATATTTTACTGCCCCCTCAATGTGTGGGCGGTTGAGCGGCAGATCGCCTGGTCCACTACTAGGCAATAATGTGTAAGTACCCTCCATTGCATATTGTGTGGACCCGCGTGAAGATCCGGGGTAGAATAGGTCTTCAGCAGCCCATGCTTGCCGTTGAAGGCGACTCTGCTTGTCGTAAGAGGCGACTAACGGGATCTGGTGGTTTGTTCGTTGACTTGGTCGATGCGTGTCATCGTATCTCATTGCGTGGATCGTTGCTCATGATGTCAATCACCGGATTACAGACTGCCGTCATATACGTGGAATATTGCTGAGTGAGGCGTTAAACAACAAACAAATAAACGAGCATACCGTGTGTGTTACTGGACATGATTCACAGGCGTCGTCGTGGATGTGAACTAATCTCCACCATTACAATTTTAATATTAATTTGTCAGTTCTGATTTGTGTTCATTCACATTTTGCGAATACCCTTCTGGTTTAACCTTTTATGAAGCTAATTGGCCAAACAAATCTTCAACCGAGTCCTCATGACAAAGCCACTGTGTGACCCTGACCTTGAAATACAGCTGTCAGTCATATATAACAGTAAACTAAAGCGTGCGCTTAGACTAACATTTAGTCTATACAAACTTATATTACACAATACTCTTCTCGACTGATTGTCCTCTGCTGATTTCATAGACTGTGGAATAGAGCTAGCTAGGGCTGGCTAGACTTGCTTTTGTATACGTTTCTAGATTGTTTTTTTCCATAAAATAGATAAATTCGACGGTCACGATACGGGACTAGCGTGCGCTCTGTTAAAGCCGATAGTCGTACTATCACGACATCGTTCCTCGTATAGTCAGCCCATAAAAATGGAATGGGCTGCCTGTTTGGATTTACTGAGAATCTACCATATGACGGGAAGGTTGAAGGACAGTAGATCACGTTGATTAACGCCAGCAGATAAAGCAGGTGGTATAGGCCAGTAAGGTTACCCTTTTAAACTTAACCACCTTGCGTTAATCTTGGAATGTCATTCACTACGTATACATAAATTCACGTGCTATTCCAGGACGCGTTCATGGACTTACTCCTACTAAACTAGACGAGGATACTATTCTACTTTTAAATGAATTAAATAAGGTTGGGCGGTTGCAGTGGTGTTAAACGTCGCTTTCAGGATTATTGTACTTACGTAACTACATGTATGTGTGTGCGCGCGTGTGTGTGTATGTGCGCGCGCGTTTGTGTATGTGTGTGTTAGTCCGGACTAATGCTGGTCATATAGTGCGAGCTAGGGCCCCCAGCTAGCCCACTGAAATATCATTAATCTGGTCTTGCACAAGCAGACACACACACACACACACACACACGCACGCACGCACGCACGCACGCACGCACGCACGCACGCACGCACGCACGCACGCACGCACACGCACGCACGCACGCACACACACACGCATGCAAGCACGCACACACAAACGCACGCACGCACACACACTCACTCACAAGCACGTACGCACGCACACACGCACACACGCACATACACATGCATGCATGCACGTCGCTATAGAAGTGCAATAATCTTAGACGCGAGGATAAACCTCATATCCTCACCTCACCTCTCGATTACAACTATCCATTACCTGTACATTACAACGAAGAGTTAAGGCAAGAGATAAGACGGTGACGTTCCTTATCAGCAAGTTCTATAACCGCCACTCTGAAGAACACTCACGACATTGCTGCTAGGCCAGTAGGGACGTACATCCATGAAGTTGCTGCTGATGCTGCTGCTGCCCCTGTTGGCGCCAATAGGGGCTGACTTCCCCTTCCGGAACACCTCGCTCACGTGGCAGGAGCGGGTTCAGGACCTCGTGGGGCGTCTTACCGTGGATGAAATACAGACCCAGATGGGGCGGGGAGGTTGGGGGCCCCAGGCCGGGCCTGCCCCCGGAATAACCAGGCTGGGGATAGGTCCTTATTCCTGGAACACAGAGTGTCTGAGGGGCGACTCGAGGAGTGGGTCTGCAACATCCTTCCCCCAGTCAATAGGCCTCGCGGCTACTTGGAGGTATGGTTCTGTGTGTTCGCGCGTGCGTGCGTGCGTGCGTGCGTGCGTGTGTGTGTGTGGATACCCTTGGAACCATTGTGTGTGTGTGTGTGTGTGTGTGTGTGTGTGTGTGTGTGTGTGTGTGTGTGTGTGTGTGTGTGTGTGTGTGTGTGTGTGTGTGTGTGTGTGTGTGTGTGTGTGTGTGTGTGTGTGTGTGTGTGTGTGTGTGTGATATTTTGGGTTTCACCAAAGAACAGGGACCTGCATAACTTCGCGCTTTCCTCCCAGATCAAGATGACACGCCGCGATATAACTGGAATACTGTTAAAAGAGGCGATAAACCCAACGAAGTCACGCACTCACTCACTGCCAAAGAAATGATAAACGTCCATGACCATTGTCACTTTGGGCCATCCTCCTAGTTTGGCGAGCGGGTTGGGATGTAGGGCAGCAATATAACGGGCGCGGACACCAGAAATGGGCTTCACACAGTATACCCATGTGAGGATTCGAACCGCTAGGCTACCATTCCCCCGCCTTCTAACCCAAGCTGACGGTGTAAGTAAATGTGTTCCTAGCGGCGTTTAATCCGAATCAATCATTTCCTTGACCCAGCACTGACATACTGTTCCGAATGGCCGAGGCTACGGGGGTCGAGGTCCGTGGCAAATACAACGACTATGTCAAGAACAACGCCTACGGTGACCACAAGGGCCTCAGCTGCTTCAGCCCCGTCATCAACATCATGCGGGACCCCAGGTGGGGCAGGAATCAGGTGGGTGGACCTTCGAGGGTCTTGAGGGCGCCGCTTAGGGTGATCCCGTTATGTGTGACTCCCTTATAAGCCTCGAGTGACATCATCAAATTGTTTTTACGGGGCCGTCATTTCATAGAATAACCTCTGGGCAGGGCCTTTCTTCAAAATATCCCTCTGTCCCTGGCATATTCTATAGAAAGTGCCACTGGCCCAGGGATATTCTATAGAAAGTACCTCTGGCCCAGGGATATTCTACAGAAAGTGCCTCCGTCTCAGGAGCAATCTATAGAAAGTACCTGCGGCCCAGGGATATTCTATAGAAAGTACCTCTGGCCCAGGGATATTCTGTGGAAAGTACCTCTGGCCCAGGGATATTCTGTAGAAAGTACCTCTGGCCCAGGGATATTCTATAGAAAGTACCTCTGGCCAAGGGATATTCTGTAGAAAGTACGTCTGGCCCAGGGATATTCTATAGAAAGTACCTCTGGCCCAGGGTTATTCTGTAGAAAGTACCTCTGGCCCAGGGATATTCTATAGAAAGTACCTCTGGCCAAGGGATATTCTTTAGAAAGTACCTCTGGCCAAGGGATATTCTATAGAAAGTACCTCTGGCCCAGGGATATTCTGTAGAAAGTACCTCTGGCCCAGGGATATTCTGTAGAAAGTACCTCTGGCCCAGGGATATTCTATAGAAAGTACCTCTGGCCCAGGGATATTCTGTAGAAAGTACCTCTGGCCCAGGGATATTCTGTAGAAAGTACCTCTGGCCAAGGGATATTCTATAGAAAGTACCTCTGGCTAAGGGATATTCTGTAGAAAGTACGTCTGGCCCAGGGATATTCTATAGAAAGTACCTCTGGCCCAGGGATATTCTGTAGAAAGTACCTCTGGCCAAGGGATATTCTATAGAAAGTACCTCTGGCCCAGGGATATTCTATAGAAAGTACCTCTGGCTCAGGGATATTCTATAGAAAGTACCTCTGGCCCAGGGATATTCTGTAGAAAGTACGTCTGGCCAAGGGATATTCTGTAGAAAGTACCTCTGGCCCAGGGATATTCTATAGAAAGTCCCTATGGCCCAGGGATATTCTACAGAAAGTACCTCTGGCCCAGGGATATTCTATAGAAAGTACCTCTGGCCAAGGGATATTCTATAGAAAGTACCTCTGGCCAAGGGATATTCTATAGAAAGTACCTCTGGCTAAGGGATATTCTGTAGAAAGTACGTCTGGCCCAGGGATATTCTATAGAAAGTACCTCTGGCCAAGGGATATTCTGTAGAAAGTACCTCTGGCCAAGGGATATTCTATAGAAAGTACCTCTGGCCCAGGGATATTCTATAGAAAGTACCTCTGGCTCAGGGATATTCTATAGAAAGTACCTCTGGCCCAGGGATATTCTGTAGAAAGTACGTCTGGCCCAGGGATATTCTGTAGAAAGTACCTCTGGCCCAGGGATATTCTATAGAAAGTCCCTATGGCCCAGGGATATTCTACAGAAAGTACCTCTGGCCCAGGGATATTCTATAGAAAGTACCTCTGGCCAAGGGATATTCTTTAGAAAGTACCTCTGGCCAAGGGATATTCTATAGAAAGTACCTCTGGCCCAGGGATATTCTATAGAAAGTAAGTCTGGCCCAGGGATATTCTGTAGAAAGTACCTCTGGCCCAGGGATATTCTATAGAAAGTACGTCTGGCCCAGGGATATTCTATAGAAAGTACCACCGTCCCGGGGATATCTTACAGGATGTCCCTCTGCCGCATAAGTAATATGCGAAACGACAAATGTATTCTTCATATTTCAGAGGATCTAACTTGCAACCTTCGTATCTGTAGTCCAGTGAGTGAACCACTAAGCTACATCGGCGCAGATAAACCACATGTTTTCTATCACTTTTTCAAGTACATGTACGTCAGCAAGAGATATTTTACGTCTGTTTCCTCAGGTTCACGGAAATGTTATATTGTTCAAAAGTTGTTTCATATTTTTCTTTCGATTTTTAAGTAGGATAAAAAATATTCCGCGTTCTTGACTGAGAATGTAAGCCCGGAGAAACCCAAGTGAAAACCGAGGAGAATTTTTTTATCATTCACACAAACCTTTTCGCAAAGTCAGTTTTCAGGATTAAATGAGCTAAGGTTCTTGTATTCCCTCTCAACCACTGGCAGATGTGAGTGAGTGAGTGAATGTTGTTTAACACCGCATTCAGCAAAATTCCAACTCTATCAGAGTTGTCTGTAAAAAATAGATTCTAAGCCATAAAAACCAATGGTTCATAACATCAGTAACGACCAATTCTTCGGGTACGATTATGTCACAATCAGCCAGTTTGCATGTTGTTCCCATGGTTTCACAATGTAGTAGGTGCGGTTTGGGTTTGGAAATGGTTTATTGCATCAATTTAACGACCCACTATGTGATACATTATGCTGTCTAAGAGGCCTTTTCACACAAACCGTTAGTCTCTAGGCCCCTAAGCCCTAGAGAAAAGCATTAAAAGGAGTCCATCTCAAGTCTAGAATGATTTGGCAAGGCAGATTAGATTGCCTCAGCTTCTGGAATTAAGGATTGTTCTGTCCTGCATTTGGATATTTTATTTGTAGATTTACATTTTTAAATAAGATAAGTTAATTTCTGGGACTAAATGTCAGCCTAACCAACCGTAGGCTGTTGCTTGACCCTTTTGTAGTGGAATTATCAAGGCCGCTACCACTGATGTTGTTGTTGGTACGTGCCTCCCTAGCAGTTCCACTTCCACATGGGCAAGCTACGCGTGTCGCTCCGTGACAATCTGGGGGATTAGACTCGTTCCTTTAGCAACCCATGCTTGTCGTAAGGGAGTGGCCATTTGATATTCTTTGTGTGTGTTGCAGGTACAAAACCAGATATTTTTTTATTTTAAACTTTGAGCCCAATCTCATTAAAATCAGTTCTCGCTATCGCTAAACAAAGATCTGAGGACATCCCATTAGGGGTCACGTCAGAACGACCTTTCATCCAACCAATCAGAGCGTCGCTTACTAGATCATGAAAGTGACAGTTGGAATGTGTTTTCTAATCATGCAACCACAATATATTTAACACGGGGTATTCCGAACGACAGTTACAGGTGTTATGATTATATCCATACAATCTAGGCCATCTATAAGCCATTTCAAAATGTTCTCTTATCAGTTTTGAGACGTCAAAATATGTTTCGAAGCGTAGTCGCCAGTTTTAAAATAATGTCGTAAAGCTCGAGAAAGCTGCCTTCTGGTTGGCCAATGTCAATTTCTTGTCAGTCATTTCATTGGTCGGTCAAAATTCGCGAAAGGTCGTTCTGACGTGATCCGTAATGGGATGTCCTCAGATCTTTGTTTAGCGGTAGCGAAAACTAAGATCTGATTTAAATGAGATTGCTTTGAGCCTAAAGTCCTTTTTTGAGACATCAGGCGCACTGCAATGGCAGTAAAAACAAATGTTCTCAACAGTCTGAAACATAATTATCATTATCAAGAATCTTTGGAACAATTTATAAAAATCCAGCTGGTATCTCGCTTGCTTGATATATGTACTAGCACCTGTACCCCAACTCATTATTAATAACACTGACGTTCTGAGTCTTCCACGGTTTCTCTTGTGTGCTGAGGTGGTTGTTGGTGTTACCGGATGTGACGTGTACTAACATTGCGATATTACCTTGTCACGCCAGGAGACCTATGGAGAGGATCCGTACCTCAGTGGTCAGTTCGCGGCCAGTTATGTGAAGGGACTGCAGGGCAATGACCCCCGTTACCTCAGGGCTAACGCCGGCTGCAAACACTTCGACGCCCACGGCGGCCCCGAGAACATCCCCGTCAACAGATTTTCCTTCGACGCCAAGGTAACCTCATATGTTCAAAGTACGAGACAACCGGATTGAGTAGTATCTGTGTCTTCTGTTTCATCAGTTGTTGCCCCACACAGGAGAAATTTTGATGTATGTTCATGTTCACAGTATACTGAGTCCGTGCCGACCAGTCCTTGTTGTAGCCCTTTAACGCCGAGCGCCAGACAGGGTTACAACAAGTACCATAATTTATATTAGTCTTTTGGTATGACGCGATCGGGACTGGAACCCAGGACCTTCCGCTCTCCTGGCGGACGCTCTACCACTAGACCACGGAGGCGGTCTCACAGTACGAGACATAGTAGACAATCGGATGTTGTAATACCTGTATCTGTTTCATCAGTCCAACACAGGGCAAATGTTGATATAGTTTGAGGTGAAGTGAAGATATCATCCCGCAGATACCCCACTCAGACACAGTATACTGACTCCGAGCCGACTAGTCCTTGTCTTAGCCCCTTAATGCCGAGAGTAGGCAGATTAACAAGTCTTTTAACGTCTTTTGGTATGACGCATCCGGGAATCGAAAAACCGACCTTCCTGTTTGTGACGGGTACTTCCGGTGAAGCAGGATGCGCTCACCTTTCCGCGAACACCTGGCATCATCACTATTTGATAGTGATTATAAACATATGACAATGATATAGTAGGAATCGACTTTATTTTTGACAGAGATTTCATATGAATGTGAATATGAATACTTTTATCTCGCCGGGAAGACGCTCTGTCCACTACATCACGGAGGCGGTCGATACATTTTGATGTCCACAGATGAGTAATACTAACAACATGACAAACCAGTTGGATACGTTTCCAAACAATGATGTCTGCTTGCAAGTATGTAACCAATGTTCTAACAATGTAAATGTAATATGTTTTTGTTTATAACTATCTCTTCTGATGATTTAATTATTAATCAACCTTCCAACAGGTTCCTGAGCGAGACTGGCGAACAACCTTCCTGCCTGCTTTCCGAACGTGTGTCAAGGCCGGCACCATGAATCTGATGTGCAGCTACAACAAGTGAGCGTTGTATACCACTGTAACAACCCCCATTATAACACGCACTCAAGCAGATAAATATTCCAACAAACATACGTTAAAGGCATTCTAAATTAGTGAACTCTAAGCCAGTTAATGACGTTGAAGGACCCATCATTTCTTTTCCGATTGCGTTTCAAACCCCAATTACATTCAGTAGATTCTTTCTATGGCTTCTACAAGGCTTTAAACACGACACACGGGGCACGGGTGTGCTTGTAAGATAACAAAGTGAAACAGAGTTCATGAACCGTCAACAGAGAAGTCTTTGCTTCTGCCGATACCATCTGAGCCTAGTTACATGTGCGGACTATTGACTGCAGGACACATCCTGCCCATGGCCTCAATAAGCCTACAGATGACATCTTATGGAATGGTAGCCTAAGAGCTTGACGAGGCAAGGGAGTTAACTGACAGTTTCCACCCTTGCCGAACTAGGCTGGAATTTCTGTGCTCGATCGTAGCGCTACCAGTGTCCATTACGAGTTTTGTCCCTTCTATGTTCCTCCTATCGACCAATCAGATTCCACCTCTCATATCAGTTGCATTTGCCTCAAACAAGATGGCGGCCCGCTGTCAAGACGATCTGATCGGTAATCAAAATCCATATTGTGATGAAACGGGTCTTACTTCGCTACGTGCATCAAATCACGTGAGCACCTTGATTAAAACATGTAAAGATTTGGAAAATATCTGTTGACGCTGAGTTTGCACTGCACATGCTTTACAAATCCTGCAATCGACCGAAATTTAAACGACTGGATGTCGATTTCATTACGCGATTTTGATTGGACGATGCAAACACGCGGTGGTCCAGCCAAAATATAATTCCATAATTCTAGCCTAGCTCAGCAAGGGTGGAAACTTGACTTTTATAATCAGTTAACTCCCTTGCCTCGGGAAGATTCCCTGGTTGACGTTGATGCTCAATTGGATTGAGATCTGGTGACCTGGACGGCCACGGCATAACGCTCATGTTCTCAGCTCTCAGGAAATCATTACACAATTGTTTTGATGAGCCGGGCATTGTCATGCTGAAACATGGTGTCTGGTGCTTACAACGCGATCTGTCCACGAGAACGCGCACCTGTTCACTTGCCCTGGATACGAACACAGATCTGTTCTTCCTATAACAGGTGGGCTGCTGTGGTGAATAGTTTACGGTATCACAACGTCATCAAGCGAAGACTGCATCAAATTTGCGAAAATGGTACCCGCTATACCGGCGAAATTGGCACCGTATTTTCAAACTATGTTTGAATGAAAATAAAACACTAAATAACAGTGTGTCAATTGAAATAGGCATTTAGAAAATATACGTTTGAACATTATTTAGGGTCTGGTCATTTTTTATAGGTGTGGGGGGGCACGTGTGGCCCAGTCGTCTAAGGCGCCGCGATTCGCTGTGCGGAAGTTGCGTCCCTTGGATACGCCAGAAACCTATGATTGTGGGTTCGAATCCCGGTTCGCCCCGATTATGTTTCTAGGTTTGTCAGCACCATACCCGTGCTCGTGGGTTTCACGCGAAGTGGTAAACGTTTTAGACCTGCATCACTTCGGGCTTTCCTCCCACATTAAGCTGACACGCCGCGATATAACTGGAATACTGTTAAAAGCGGCGTTAAACCCAACTCACTCACTCACTCACTCACTATTATAGGTGTGTGTGCCATGTTACCGATACCGTGCTCCCAAGTTGGGGAATTGCTCAAGGCAACGTTCAAATGCCGTGCCACTGATGTGTGTGATTCGCCAGCTTCAAGTCTACCACAACGTTCTTTCTCGCATTGTTATTGAGTCATTTCGTTACCTGAATTATTTGTGAAGATGACATTTGTCATAAACTTACCCTTGTAACCCATGACAAATTCCGTGATTTGCAGGTGAAAACTACTTTACAGTTTCCCAAAGAACTAACCCTCACATCTCAAATCGATATATCAATTATTGCCTCTGATTAATAAGTAAACCATCCACGAAATTAGGTTTTGAAAATATTGATACCACCAATACAGGGCTTTTTAGGACGTATATTAGATCATCTACGAGAATGACCAGGCTAGATTATCCGCCGTAACAAGTTCCTTTTCTCGTAAATGGCAAAATAGCTGTGAAAATTATATGAATGAAGAACTGAAAATCAGTGATGATACCAGGTTTTCGAGAAACATCCGAGTCCAATGTAACTATATTTAATATTACACGTGTATTCAGACTGAACGGAGTCCCGGCCTGCGCCAACAAGCACCTGCTCACCGATGTCCTCAGGAAACAATGGGGGTTTGAAGGCTACGTCATCAGCGACCAGGGAGCTATAGAATTAATGATGACACAGCACCACTACTTCCACAACAACGTGGACATGGCGGCCGGCGCCGTGGATGCAGGATGCAACCTTGAGCTCTCCAATAATCTCGCCACGCCAGCCTTCTTCTCCATAGGTCCGTGCACTGTTTACTGAGTCTTCTGTTATGTAGTTCTGTATACTGAGTCTTCTGTTCCGTAGTTCTGTTTACTGAGTCTTCTGTTCCGTGATTCCGTTTACTGAGTCTTCTGTTTCGTAGTTCTGTTTACTGAGTCTTCTGTTCCGTAATTCTGTTTACTGAGCCTTCTGTTTCGTAGTTCTGTTTATTGAACCTGCTGTGCCGATAGGTCTGTTTACCGAGCTCTGTTCGCCAAAAGAATGTTTTGTTTGTTTACTGAGTTTACGTATGGTTTGGGGCACGGGTGGCCCAGTCGTCTAAGGCGCCGCGATTCGCTGTGCAGAGTTGCGTCCTTTGGGCACGCCAGAAACCTATGATTGTGGGTTCGAATACCGGTTCGCCCCTATTATATTCTAGGTTTGTCAGCACCATACCCGTGCTCGTGGGTTTCACCGAAGTGGTAAACGTCTGAGAGCAGCATCACTTCGGGCTGATCTCCCACATTAAGCTGACACGCCGCGATATAACTGGAATACTGTTAAACCCAACTCATTCACTCACTCACTCACTTACTCACTCACTCACTCACTTACGTATGGCTCAATCTACATAAGACATATATTGACGAATGTCAATAAGAAGCCAGTATGGGACTCGATTGACTATGTTTTTCTGAAATTGTGTTCGACGTATCCTACACGAACCCAACCCAATGTTTATACTTTGCCATTGGGAAACATGTCATCCCGCCAGTCTGTAGAGTGTATGCTTTGGGAAGTCATTATTGTGAAAACATCTTAAAAATATAACGCATTTTATTTAAGTTCAAGTATACCGCGAAACGTCGTTAACTCGATCTCACGGTTAAGACGATTTAACTCTTACGGTACTGCCAGAATCGTTATGTCATATTTATTTGGAATTTATCAACACCAAAAAATAATGGCCACCTGTACACTGTCACTCCAGTGGTTGTTACATCTATATCTTATGTTACATCATAAGATCTGTCGATTCCCTAGATGGGTACAATGTGTGAAGACAATTTCTGGCGTCCCCTGTCGTGATAGTGCTGGAATATTGCTAAAAGCGGCGTAAGGCCTTACCCACTCACTCATACAGTCCTGGGAAACGTTATTATGACCACAGTATCAATATCAATACAATGGTCATGTATTTCCAAAGAAAATATGTTCAAATCTTAAATTAAGATCAGCTCTGTGTGGCCCTAGTTCAATAAAGGCTTAGTGTGATATGGGACTGATACTATTCCCTGGATAAGTGCACATGCAATGCTCTTCTGTTCTCCTCCCCAGCGGACGCCGTGAAGCAGGGCAAACTCAAAGAGGACGTGGTGAGGCAGCGGGCCAAGGAGCTGTTCTATGCCCGGATGCGGCTGGGTGAGTTCGACCCCCCAAGTATGAACCAGTACAGCAAGCTGGACTCCTCCGTGGTAGAGACTCGGGCTCACCAGGACCTCGCCGTGGAGGCAGCCATGAAGTCCTTCGTCCTCCTCAAGAACCACAACAACTTCCTCCCCATCAAGGCCAACCACTACAAACAGTCGGCTGTAAGTGACCGACCCTCTCCCTGTCTGGTTATACGTGTAGGATAAAGCACGTCCGAGGGTTTTTATATTTAAAACCGAGGAGCGACAGCCCCGAGTTTTATCCCAAGGATCAGGGTTTTAAATATAATAAAAACCAGAGAGGAAGTGTTTTACATAACTTGTATACCATAAATAGAAACATAAAACAACATTTATCAACATGTTATGTTCCAAACATACTTTTCATGAACCTTATGGAACGGGCGTAAAATATCTGTTGCCGGCGAACAGTACTTGAAAAAAACATTCTTAAAAGCATACTTTAGTGATTTATCATGATCAGCGCCTTTATGATGCACATACTGGGCTACAGATGAGGTGAAATGGGGTTTATCGTCGCGTCCAAGATTATTGCACTTATATAGCGACGTGCATGTACGTGTGTGTATGTGGCTGCTTGTACTAGTCCGGACTGATGCCGATTTATAGTGCTGGCACACTGAGATACCATGCCCCAGTTTAACATGAATACACCACTCAGACACAGTATACTGACTCCCAGCCGACCAGTCTTTGTTTAACCCTTAAATGCCGAGCGCCAGACAGGGTAACAACAAGTGCCATCGGTTAACGTCTTTTGGTATGACGCGGCAGGGGATCGAACCCCGGACCTTTCGCTCTCCGGGCGCACGCTCTACCACAAGACCACGGAGGCAGTAACTGGGCTGCAGATATGAATGTTGCGTGTTCCATCCTCGGGAATATAAAGAAATCATTTGTCATTTGATTTGACATAATATTGAGATCAAATGCAAAATAAATTTCTAGCGAGAATCATTAATATGTTACGATCTAAACGGAGGTTGTATTAATAAAATCTCCGGGATATTATATAAAATACCAGGTTGATTATAACAGCTCTGTTTATGAGATAAAAAACCCTGGAGGACAATGGGATGACGTCACTGGAGGTTTATAAAGTGGCTGACTGAAAGTCTTTCTTATCTCGAGCGTAATCCACAGCAACGTTTTCCGTGATACAGCTGTTATAACCCACTCACTCACTCAACTTCAGACAATGTTAGGACGTTGTCGACATTTGGGTCTAAATGCTCTGCACGGCGCTTAGCGGCACCTTTGACGACATGGCCACCCGTGCCCCACGATATTTATGAAAAAGGTAATTTGGCTATATCAATGTAAATAAGAATATACGTGCTCTCTTCGACGTCCAGGTTGTCGGGCCGTTCACCTACCAGGGACGTGGCGTGTTTGGCAGCTACGCCGCCAACACCGACGACAAGTACATCTCCACTGTCCTGGATGGACTGAAGGGCGTGGCTCCCACGGTCAAGTCGGCTGAGGGGTGCACGGACTCCACTTGTAATACATACCAAGCCCACATGGTCAAGTCAGCCGTGCAGGGCGCAGAGATTGTCTTTGTATGCCTCGGTCTAGGTGAGTGAGTGAGTGGATTGGTTGACAAGTGAGTGGGTCTGGGTGGTTTGGTTTTGGGCGAGTGACCAATCTATGTATAATTTGTGTGTGTGTGTGTGTGTGTGGGGGGGGGGGGGGGGGGGGGGGGGAGAAGCACATGTTAGTTGAGTATATAACACTAAGCACAATATATTAAAACGCTTTAAGTTTTAGCATAAGAACCTAGTCGGATTAAACATATCTGTGAGGTGCGGTTGGTTCGAACCCGGTCTTGCTGTCTAAATATCTAGTCCCACCACAAAATAACATATTATGTAGATACGTACAAATGAAGTTCCATATGATAGATAGATAGATAGATAGATAGATAGATGCACGCACGCACGCACGCACGCACGCACGCACACACATACACACACAAACACACAAACACACACACACACACTCACATTTGAAAATTGTAAGTGTAGACACCGCTGCAGGTTTGCGTTTTTGTGAGAACATCATAATCAACTCATGCGATGTGCGTGTTCGAATCCCAGGATCGGGAATACATTTTTCAGGTAAAGATATTACAGGTTTGACAAGATACTGTATTGAAGATGAAGCCTGTATGTTAAAAGACGTGAAGATCTATTTCAACAGATAACAGGTGACGACTTACTTCAGTTTCTAAGACCGTAGAGGTGTTGATGGTGCTGTTAATGGGACTGGCGTTAGTACAGTTGGCCAGAGACATACAACTGTGTTATAACATTGTGGGGATACCAGTGTGTGTGTGCTGACAGTATTTCACACTTGTTAACAGGTCAAAAGATGGAGGATGAGTTTCGTGATCGTCGTAATCTGGACATGCCGAGTGGACAGTTGACACTTCTTAAAGACGTCCTAAGTAACAGTAAGTTCCGGGCAGAGACCTACATGGCAGAACGCCAGAAACAGACAGCACGTCTTGGATAACAAGGACGCCTGTCGTGTGTCACACGTGACCTATGCGTGGAGATGACACACGTAACGCACACGTCAGAAGTCAGAAAGGAAGTCCATTACTGACCATCATTTGGGATTCTGTAAACGAGAGCTGTCATTTGATGACATGTTCTGAATCTAATACGGAAGTACGAGGCCCCTTCTCCAAGTGCATGTAGCTATGTGTAGCCTCCGGGAGGTGGCGCCGTCCACACAGGAAGGGAGCCAGTACCTTCGCTAGTTCTGGCAATTTCAAAAGGTTACAAGTGATGTACCTTGAAACAGATCCATTGTTGCCATGACTACACACCCTATAGACTGGGCTGTATTAATAAACAGCTGGTACATTAATAGTCTCCCAGTGTAACTGACGTATTTGTAACTGTCTATTTTACAATTGAACGGGTCGGGTAGGCATTTTACTTTATTAGACAAAAACTTCCGGAATTACAGTGACAAAAAGAAAATACTTCTTAAAGTGGGTTCAGAGTCAAAGGGATCAACAGCGACTCAAAAACATTGCTAACAGTAAATATTGTGGTGTATTCATAAAAATATATTTAGGGTCATAGTGTCGGAACTAAACAAGTGCCTGGTTCTACATATTCATGTAACGTACATGCGTTAGGAGTTTGTGGGTGGTTTTGGGGGTGAGTGAGTGAGTGAGTGAGTGGGTGAGTGAGTGAGTGAGTAACTGACTGAATGACTGACTGAGTGACTGAGTGAGAACAAATGCCTGTAGATACATAAAATACACAACTCGGGATTGTCATCTAATCGCAGCAAGATATGGATGAAAGATTCTGTGTTTTTTTCTGACACATACGTGTGTATGTATAGTTTTTACTTATATATGCAACATAAAGTTATTACTTCGCTGTCATTTGTTTAGCAAAGAACGATGTTCCCGTCGTGCTGCTGTTGTTTAACGCCGGTCCGGTCAACATCGTCCAGCAAGAAGCTGACCCCCGCATCTCGGCCATCATGACGCTGTTCTACCCGGCACAAGCCACGGGCACGGCGCTGTTCAAGACCCTCACCAACGACGGGCCTTTCTCCGTCCCCGCCGGCCGACTACCCTACACCTGGTACCGGAACACTAACGGCGTAAGTTCCACAGTCAAAACACCTCTACGTTTTGTCCACCGTTTTACGAAGGCTGGTAATCAAACAAAACCAACAATTGTGAAAGTGTTTTTAATTTTATTTTTCAACGTACTCCCTGCTTTTAAATACACTTATATATCAATAGCGAAGCTTTTCAATTCCATTTAGGAAGAATTTATTCTGAAGCCACCCTGAAAAATCCATTCACTGCAGCTTTGAGGTCATCGTTGTCGTCGTAGCGCTTTTCACTAAGGGGTTCTTTCAGTTTCGGAAACAGGTTCAAATCATTTGGTGCCAGGTCTGTCGAGTATGGAGGGTGAGGAAGCTCTTCGAACCCACATTGTCGTACAGCAGCCTTTTTAAGTCGAAAGGTGTGAAAAGAGGCATTGTCATGAAGTCGTAGAACTACAGCAGTCAGCATTCCTCGTCGCTTTTCTTAAATAGATTCTCTCAGGCGATGAAGCAAATCAGCATAGAAGGCACCGATAATAGTCTTTTGACGTTCTAAGTAATCAACAAGGAACATCCCCTTTGCATCTTCAAAACAGTGGCCATAACTTTCTTCGCTGAAGTTTAAGACTTGAATTTCTTTGGTGTCGGAGAAGTGGAATGGTGCCATTCCATGGATTGACGTTTTGCGTCGGGATTATAGTGGAAGACCCTTGTTTCATCACCTGCTACTCTTTTTGAATTTGACGAAATCCTCCTCTATAAGTCCTAAAGTTCCTATGACAATGGCAATTCTTTTTTCCTTACGATCAGAATTTAGAAACTTTGGCACCCAACGAGCAGATATTCATCTGTAAATGTTCATGGATAATAGTTTCAATGGATCCAGGGCTTAGAACGGTGTCTCCTCAAGTTCAGCAATGGTAATACGTCTATCAGACAGTATAATTCTCCTTGATTGAATCTTCATTGATTGAAGTTGAGGGTCTTCACCAAGACTTAAACAAAGCTGCCCAACGTTTAACAGTGGAAGGGCTAGGGCACTTATCCCCATACACTTGTGACATGCTGTCATGAATTTCTTGGGGAGCACTATTCTCTTAAGTCAAAATCTTGATGACTGCTCCATTTCTGTGTCCATTTGTCGTTGTTTAAAGTCTGTTTTTAACATTCTAGTTTGTTCAAATCTGTGATGTTACTGGATATTTTACAGTCCTTTGATGACAGGGTTTTAGAAAATATAAATTCATTACTCACTCACTCGCTCACCGAATCCCATACAGAAAAGTAATCCATATACTGATTAGAACAATGGTTTCCTCCTGACCTCTACGTTTAAGTCCACACAAAAATATGATTTGTTCCTTGTCTCTTTTTGTGTTTTATTGATATCATGGAAAAGCACACACACACACACACGCACGCACGCACGCACGCACGCACGCACGCACATATAACGATATTATATCCACAAAATGAACTGTACTGTCAGCACTCAAAACAAGCACTTCTTCATGCTAGGTTTCCGAGGGATGTACTGTGTACCACACACAAGGAGGACAAAACCGCACTCAACCTTTGTGAAATATGTTTTAAGACGTGATCCAACACGTTGAAATAATGTTCCTTGTTTCTGTCACAGTTCCCATCTATGACAGACTACACGATGACAAACCGCACCTACCGCTACTCCGATGTCGACCCTCTCTACCCCTTCGGCTACGGCCTCTCCTACACCACCTTCCACTACGACAACCTCCAGCTCGGTAGCAACACCATCCAAGCCGGTGACGACGTATCGGTGCAAGCCCGCGTAAACAACAGAGGCGGACAGGATGCAGACGAGGTGAGTCAACTCCAACACTGCATCATTCCCGGGTAGTGAGTGAGTGAGTGAGTGAGTGAGTGAGTGAGCGAGTGATAACAAACCATGATTATATATCCCTGATACATCCTTAAACTCACGTTGTATGTCGTTCAGATTTACAAGGCGATTCAGGTTTGTTCAGTCCAGTGTTGTCAAATCCAGCAGTTACAGGCTCGCTCGTGTGAGGTATTAAAGTGACACTTCGATAAAGTCTCAAAGGTCTACATCTTCTACACGGCAGCTGTTGTTTCTGCTGCAGGTCGTGCAGCTGTACATCAGCTGGGAGAATCCCACAGTCACCGTCCAAAGGTTGCAGCTGGTCGGATTCCTCAGAATGGCGGTCCCAGCTCAAGGTCACGTGAACGTGAACATGACGATATCTCACGAGAACTTGGCTGTGTGGGCAGACGACACCACCGGCTGGGCTGTACAACCGGGTAAGAAGAGTGCCCAGAACACAGTTTGAATCTCAGGATCTCCAAATACAGATTCCCAAATACTCTTAACCTCGATGACTCGAATTTAAACTTTATATACTAATCAAAAGGTTAAAGTTAAAGAGTTTCCACAATTTAAAGGCTGTGTGTTGCAATACCAACCAGCCATGACATATTGATGATAGCAATAGGAATAAATCGCATATCTTTTGAGATGGTTAACTTTATGGCCCCAAATTATTTTTTTGCTTAATGGCCTAATATTGGTTTTCACCTCTCGAAGGAAAATTATATCAATATGACATTATGAGCGATGGTCCACGTCTAAATTGGTTTATTGGGTGTCATATCGTACCCTGACGGCGTGGATTGTTCCTCGTGCTAATAATTACGTGTGTGTTCGAGTGGATAGAGCGTCTGCCCGGAGAGCGGAGGGTCGGTGATTCAATCCCCGGCCGCGTGATATCAAAGGGCGTTAAAAGATAGTATTTGTTGTTGCCCTGCCTTGCATTCGGCAGTAAAGGGATAAACAAGGACCGGCCGGCTCGAAGTCAGTATACTGTGTCTGAGTGGGTATCCATGTATGTTAAACTGAGGCATGGTATTAAAGTGGACTAGAACTATAGAACCGTCGTACGTCCGACTTGTACAAGCAGCCACACACACACACATGCATGTCTCTATGTGAGGGAATAGGTCTTCAGCAACCCATGCCTATCGTAACAGGCGACTAACGGGATCGGGTGGTCAGTCTCGCTGACTTGGTTGATGCATGTCATCGTATGCCAGTTGTGTGACCTTCAAGCACACTTCACCTCACCTCACCTCACCTCACCTCACCTCACCTCACCTCACCTCACCTCACCATGCTTCTAATTACATGTATATAGTGATGAAATAGTGCGTAGGAAGGCATTTACTCAGAATAATGAGGCGTTTGCGGATTCTCAACAAAAGTTACTGTACTGCCCTTGGTCACGTTGTCCGGTCGATGTAGTTGATGATGTTGTGTGAATCTTCCAGGGAAAGTGCGGGTGTACTTGGGTGGCCAGCAGCCCAATCAGAAGATGTCCGTGGGATCAAACACCCTCACCACAGAGCTGACCATCACTGGAACAAAGACGCTAGGAGTATATTGAATGTAACAGGCAATGTTAAACATATCGGATCTCATGACGTATTAAAACATGCCGTTATGTGAAACCAAGAAAAGCATTAAATAACGACAGGAATGGAATAGCTTGTTATTTTGTATATGAACATTATCAAGTATTTCGAATTTACCCATATCACAGTCTAGTGACCGCTCTGCTCCCCAGCTTTATTTCCGACACAACTCGGCAAAGTCCGGCGGTCGTCATTGTACAGTGTCATTACCCTCTGTGTTAGGGACTTAGATGCCGGATTATTTCATTCTTTTGTGATCTAATGGTACTCTCAAACCATGGACGTCATCTCTTATATGTCCGCCACCTTATTCTTGCATTGAAAATGTTTTTGTAACTATGATTTTCAAACAGTAGTAGAATTTATATGTTCTCGCAGATAATTCTCATGTATTCATGATAGTTTTGCCACCTCAATAATTGTACATAGCTTGTTGTACATCCTTAAGGATACCCTGTTTCTAAGCGCCCCAGTCTGTTGTATTCCCGCCGGTCAATGAGAGAACGTCTCTCTGACGTCCGCGCGCAGTATATTTATACTCCAGTCAGTTATTGCTTCTTTTTGAGGGGACTTGAAGGCTTGTGCTATACAACCACAGGGAGATAACTAGGACCTTCATCTCCTGTAAAGCACGTATGCCAGGCCGGTGACAGACTAATTTATTTAACTCACTTATCGCATAATTATAGTCTGTTAACATATCCTCACATACTCGTTTTAGATAACTTTTGTTAACTTACGTGAACGATCTTGTTTAGATGGTTGTTTACACTTCAGAAGCTATGCCCTTAAATTAACAGTCTACCGCCCGCTAGATGTCCGGCTAGAGGTGCTTCAGGCATACTTCTTGGACAACCGATTTTCGCTTTCCGAGAATATATCACAAATAACATGTCCACTTCCGGGAACATACTTAAGAGAAATCTTCCGATGAGGAACTGACTAACTAGGTAGTTACAATATAACATCCTTCAAGTCACCGCGACCTGTTGTGCACTGTTTGGACTCACTAAGTCATTTCTTCAAAATCAGCGCGACTAGTCTTTTCTTGGAAATTGAATATGCACTTTCCCACTGTAGGAATGGCAGGTTGTAGAAATAGTTTTTAAAAATGCTAAACTAATACATTTCTCCAACATACTTTTTGAATCAACATTCTACTGTTTATTTCACATATGTTTGTCTCATTAGTGAGTTAGCAATTACCCCCAGCAAATAATACACATTTGAAATAAATGCCTCTCCACTCCGAACTTGGATAAGGCAGAACTTGACCTACATCACAATTACTCACACCTCAAAACTGTCAATGGCTGCCAGTGTTGTTTCCATTTACCGTACCTCAGACAAGTTACATGGAGAAAGATGACAACCCTGATCTTTGATGTGGTTCAACATTAACCTGTAGGTTTACTGGGAATGAGCCTGATGGTACAATGTGTTTGCCAATGGAGCATGACTGAACAGCCCTTTTTTAGGCTGCAGATGAACCGGCCATTTTGACATGAGGGACCTGATTTGACCTGTCAATTTCCAGATCTCACGGTTTAGACGCCAGCGTGTGAAAGAAGTGTGACATTTGTGGCCCAGAAACAGTGGTTTGCATATGATTTGCTTTATTGTGTGTGTTCTGAAATGAATTTCATCAAGTTTCATAAGTTGTTATGATCAAGCGCCTGTGCTGTGACTTCACTGATGTCGGGAGGAGTGTTTTCTGATCCTCAGATCCTCTCCTGCCAAATCTTTACGGTGGCTGGCGGAGATGGCAATGAATATCGATCACAAAAAGGTCTGTAAAAAACATGTTGTCATCAATAAAGTTTGACTTAGTGACTTAGTTAACTATACTGGTCGACTAAATGTACCAGGCCGTCACGGTGACTTTGTTAATTATGCTGGTCGACTAAATGTACCAGGCGGTCACGGTGACTTAGTTAACTATGCAGGTCGACTAAATGTACCAGGCAGTCACGGTGAGTTGGTTAACTATGCTGGTAGACTAAATGTGTCAGGCGGTCATGGTGAGTTGGTTAACTATGCTGGTAGACTTAATGTGTCAGGCGGTCATGGTGAGTTGGTTAACTATGCGGGTCGACTAAATGTGTCAGGCGGTCACGGTGACTTAGTTAACTATGCTGGCCGACTAAATGTACCAGGTGGTCACAGTGACTTATTTAACTATGCTGGTCGACTAATGGTGTCAGGCGGTCATGGTGACTAGGTTGAGTATGTTGGTCGACTAAATGTACCAGTTGGTCACGGTGACTTTGTTAACTATGCTGGTCGACTAAATGAACCAGGCAGTCACGGTGACTTTGTTAACTATGCTGGTCGACTTAATGTACCAGGTGGTCACGGTGACTTGGTTAACTATGCAGGTCGACTAAATGTACCAGGCGGTCACGGTGACTAGGTTGAGTATGCTGGTCGACTAAATGTGTCAGGCGGTCACGGTGACTTTGTTAACTATGCAGGTCGACTAAATGTACCAGGCAGTCACGGTGACTTAGTTAACTATGCTGGTCAACTAAATGTACCAGGCAGTCACGGTGAGTTGGCGAACTATGCTGGTAGACTAAATGTACCAGGCGGTCCTGGTGACTTAATTGAGGATGTTGGTCGACTAAATGTACCAGGCGGTCCTGGTGACTTAATTGAGGATGTTGGTCGTACAACTCCAACTCCACCTCTACCCTCACCCCCACCTCCAACTCCAACTCCACCTCCACCCTCACCCCCGCCTCCAACTCCAACTCCACCTCCACCCTCACCCCCGCCTCCAAGTCCAACTCCAACTCCACCTCCACCCTCACCCCCGCCTCCAACTCCAACTCCACCTCCACCCTCACCCCCGCCTCCAAGTCCAACTCCAACTCCACCTCCACCCTCACCCCCGCCTCCAACTCCAACTCCACCTCCACCCTCACTCCCACCTCCAACTCCAACTCCACCCTCACCCCCGCCTCCAACTCCAACTCCACCTCCACCCTCACCCCCACCTCCACCCCGCCTCCAATTCCAACCCCAACTCCACCTACACCTCCACCTCCAACTCCAACCCCAACTCCACCTCAAACTTTAACGCCACCTACATCTCCACCTCCACCACCACCTCAAACTCCAACTCCACCTACAACTCCAACTCCACCTACAACTCCAGTCCACAATTTTGTCACATTCTGAATGTCTTCGGTCTCGATTACAACCATCCATGACCTGTACCTTATAGCGGAGTGTAAATGAAAGAGATAAGAAGTGACGTTCCTTATCAGTGAAGTAGGATCTATAACCGCCACTCTGAAGGACACTCGTGAGGTGGTGAGGGGACAGAGGTCTCTCTATCTCTCTATAATGATACTTCTCCTGCTGCTGCTGCCGCCCCTTGTGGCCCTGGTCGGGGCTGACTTCCCCTTCCGGAACACCTCGCTCACGTGGCAGGAACGGGTACAGGACCTCGTGGGGCGTCTTACCGTGGATGAAATACAGACCCAGATGGGGCGGGGAGGAGGGGGGCCCCGGGGCGGCCCTGCCCCCGGTATACCCAGGCTGGGGATAGGTCCTTATTCCTGGAACACAGAGTGTCTGAGGGGCGACTCGAGGAGTGGGTCTGCAACATCCTTCCCCCAGTCAATAGGCCTTGCGGCTGCATGGAGGTAAGGTTAAGTGTGTGGTTCAAGCTGACACGCTGTAAAAAAATGGAATACTGTTCAAAAGCGGCGTTGAACCCAACTCACTCACTCACTGCCAAAGAAATGGTAAATGTCAATGACCATTATCACTTTCGGTTATCCTCCGAAGTTGGTGAGTGAGTAGGGTTTCAAACAATAAACCCATGTGAGGATTCGAACTTTGCCTTCGACGTGACGAGTGAACGCTTAAACAACTAGGCTACCCACCGCTGCCAATCTGACAACAACGATGTAAGTAAATGTTTTCATAGGGGCGTTCATTCCGACTCAATCATGTCCTTGACCCAGCACTGACCTGCTGTTCCGAATGGCCGAGGCTACAGGGGTCGAGGTCCGTGGCAAATACAACGACTACGTCAAGAACAACGTGTACGGTGACCACAAGGGCCTCAGCTGCTTCAGCCCCGTCATCAACATCATGCGGGACCCCAGGTGGGGCAGGAATCAGGTAAGTCGCTCCGTTGAACTGATCGTTTTCAGGGCCCGTCCAAGGATGTTCCCGTCTCTGTGTGTTCCCTTATATAAGATAGCTTCGCGATAAATCGCAAAGAACAATGAAGAACGAGGCGTTGTTCATTTCACGATAAAACCTTGTTGTTTCATGTCATTTCTTGAGATTCTAACATGCGCTCGCAACTTAATAACGTCGTAAATTGGACGACGTTGTTTTTGAGAGAGTAGTGAGTTGTTCCTCTTAGATGTAGCTGGATAACGTGGTATAAACGCAATGGCCGAACAATCGCACCCAAAAGTGGAGAGAGATATGGCAATCGGTATTAGGATATACAGATAATCGACATGTCCAGATAATCGACATGAAAACTGTGAGAATATCTGGACAAAATACCAAACTTAACACCCTGTTCATGAAATAGACTTGCCCGACTTTGCCGAGGTCGGATTGTATTCAGGTAGTCATCATTATATAAACACGGGTAAATATTTTTAAAGCTTGTATTGTTTATTAACGCCCTTATTAAAGAGGATGTAACATAATGTTGATATCTCATATGTGAAATAAACCTCTAATGATGTCATTCAATTGTTTTGTAGAATAACCTCTTGGCAATAACTTTCTCCAGTATTTCAACTAGATAGACAGTGCCTCTGTCCCTGAAATATTCTATAGAAAGTGCCTCTGTCCCTGAAATATTCTATAGAAAGTGCCTCTGTCCCTGAAATAATCTATTGAAAGTGCCTCTGTCCCTGAAATATTCTATAGAAAGTGCCTCTGTCCCTGAAATAATCTATTGAAAGTGCCTCTGTTCCTGGAATATTCTATAGAAAGTGCCTCTGTCCCTGAAATATTCTATAGAAAGTGCCTCTGTTCCTGGAATATTCTGTAGAAAGTGCCTCTGTTACTGAAATATTCTATAAGAAAGTGCCTCTGTCCCTGAAATATTCTTTAGAAAGTGCCTCTGTCCCTGAAATATTCTATAGAAAGTGCCTATGTTCCTTGAATATTCTGTAGAAATTGCCTCTGTTCCTGAAATATTCTGTAGAAAGTTCCCCTGTCCCTGGATAATTCAATAGAAAGAAGCTAGAAGCTGGAATTACAATTAGTAGAGTGACAAAAATGACTATAAATACATGAGAAAAAGTTCCAGATAATCCCGCTACCGCCTGAAGAAAACAAAGTCACTAAAACTCTTTCAATACGTGAATAAGCTTGCATACATGTAGGAGATAACATATATCAAACACAAGATAAGAGTATGAGATTTAACTGCTAGAGAACGGAATTTACAGACAACAAATTCTCTAACAATGAACTAACGCGACACAGACCTGCGCCGAGCGGCGCCTACCGCCAGACCGATACGAGTAGTGAGGCGTTAAGGTCACGGTTGTCGGGCCTGCACGGTTATCGGACCTGCACAGTTGTCGGTCCTGCACAGTTGTCGGCCCTGCACAGTTGTCGGCCCTGCACAGTTGTCGGCCCTGCACAGTTGTCGGCCCTGCACAGTTGTCGGTCCTGCACAGTTGTCGGTCCTGCACGGTTATCGGCCCTGCACAGTTGTCGGTCCTGCACAGTTGTCGGTCCTGCACGGTTATCGGCCCTGCACAGTTGTCGGTCCTGCACAGTTGTCGGCCCTGCACAGTTGTCGGCACTGCTTTTATCGTAAATGAAGCAGGCTCGCATAATCCCATTTTTTTCCTTGCGTATAATACTTACGAAACGGAATCACACTCATTTTCTTTATAACCTAAAGTCAATGTTCCAGACGTAATTACACTCAACGAAGTAGTGAGTGAGTATGGTTTTACGCCGATTTTAGCAATATTCAAGCAATATCACGGCGGGGGACACCAGAAAAGGGCTTCACACAATGTACCCATGTCGGGAATCGAACCCGGGTCTTCGGCGTGACGAGCGAACGCTTTAACCACTAGGCTACCCGACCGCCCCCTCAACGAAGTAACGTTAGAAATCATGTATGAATACATGAGGCCGCTACTACTGATTGTTGGTACGTGCGTCCCCAGAAGAGGCCTAGATAATTCCACTGCAACATAGTCAAGCTACGTGAAGGTCCGGGTTACTAACAATTGATCTTCAGCAACCCATGCTTGACTTAAGATGCCACTAACGGGATCAGGTGGCCAGGCTCGCTGACTTGATTGATGTATGTCATCGTAGCCCAATTGCGTATGTCGATGTTCAGGATGTCAATCACTAGATTTTCTGGCCCAGGCTCGATTATTTCTGAACATCCGTCATGTAGCTGGAATATTGAGTGTGGCGTTAAAACACAACAAACTGGTACGTGCGTCATTCACGAAGGGATCACAGCAATCAACAAAGACTTGCGGTAGTCATCGCTTTATGGTATCTCGCTTGCTTGATATGTGTACGGGGGCGGTCGGGTAGCCTAGTGGTTAAAGCGTTGGCCCGTCACGCCGAAGACCCAGGTTCGATTCCCGACAATGTGTGAAGCCCATTTCTGGTGTCCCCGCCGTGATATTGCTGGAATATTGCTAAAAGCGGCGTAAAACCATACTCACTCACTGATATGTGTACGAGCATATTTACCGCAACGCATTAAAATAACACTGAAGTTCTGAGTCTTCCACGGTTTCTCTTGTGTGCTGAGGTGGTTGTTGGTGTTACCGGATGTGACGTGTACTAACATTGCGATATTACCTTGTCACGCCAGGAGACCTATGGAGAGGATCCTTACCTCAGTGGTCAGTTCGCGGCCAGTTATGTGAAGGGACTGCAGGGCAATGACCCCCGTTACCTCAGGGCTAACGCCGGCTGCAAACACTTCGACGCCCACGGCGGCCCCGAGAACATCCCCGTCAACAGATTTTCCTTCGACGCCAAGGTAACCTCATATGTTCACAGTACGAGACAACCGGATTGTGTAGTATCTGTGTCTTCTGTTTCATCAGTTGTTGCCCCACACAGGCTAAATATTGATGTATGTTCATGTGATATGAAGGTGTGTCGCCCACTGAGATACCATGCCACAGTTTAAATGGATACCCTACTCAGACACAGTATACCGACTCTGAGGTGGACCGTTCTTGTGTTATCCCTTTAATGCCGAAGGCAAGGCAGAGTGCCATCTTTTAACGTCGAGCCACTGACTTTCCTCTCTCCAGGCAGACGCTCTATCAAATACACCACAGAGGCGGTCGATACATTTTTATGTCCAATGATTAGTTAATATTGACAAAATGACAAACCAGTTGGATACGTGTGCAAGTATGTAACCAATGTTCTTACAATGTAAATGTAATTATTATATGTTTTTGTTTATAACTGTCTCTTCTGATGAATGAATTATTAATCAACCTTCCAACAGGTTCCTGAGCGAGACTGGCGAACAACCTTCCTGCCTGCTTTCCGAACGTGTGTCAAGGCCGGCACCATGAATCTGATGTGCAGCTACAACAAGTGGGCGTTGTATACCACCTCCGTTATAACACGAACTCAGATAAATAAGATTACAACATAGAACAACACACTTTTAAAATATCAAAACTCTAAGCCTGTTAATGGCGTTAAAGGACCCAGATTACATTACAATGATTATTCAACTTCAAACCCCCATTACATTCTGAGATTTATCTACGGCTTCTACAAGGCTTCGAAAACAATACGTGTGGCTCGTATGACTGCAGGACACATCCTGCCCATGCACGTGTGTGTTTGTAAGATAAGGAAGTGAAACAGTTCATGAACCCTGAACACAGCATGTACCGATACTATCTCAAGCACGGCAGTGCAAAGCCCTGTACTCTGTGTGTCCGCTACTGGACCGAATGACTGCAGGACAGATCCTTCCCATGGACTCAAGAATCTTGTGGAGAACACCTTATGGAATGGCAGCCCATTCCTCCTGGAGAGCTTGGCGTATTTCTGCAGATTCTGTGGTCCTTGTTGGCGTTGATGCTCAACTGGATTGAGATCCGGTAACCTTGACGGCCACGGCATTACGCTTATGTTCTGAGCTGTCAGGAAATCATTACAAATTGCTGTGTGGG